TAAAAACATTAATCTTCATTCCACAGATGAAAAAAGCAAGGCTCCCAGAAGCTTAAAAATAAGGTTGAAGTACTACAAATTGAGAATATTGTCATCTCCCACTACCTGCCCAGCTCTTGGGTATTTTATTTTCCTCTTAGCAGTCAAAGTGAGTCGATGGTTGATGTGTGCCATTTTCTGCCACAAGCAGAAGGATGGAAGATGAGTACTGCTATTGTGGTCCAGATGTAGAGTAAAGGTCATAAGTTGGGTCTGTGACTTTTTTGTCCAACTCTTCATGTAAAAGTATGGAGTAGAATCCAGGAGGAGTCTGGACTTAATGCATCAGTCTCACATGCTCTCCCTGTCTAGCTTTTGATGTAGCTCAGGAAAGTGTTCAGTATGCTTACTTTGCCCCAAGAAGCACGCTTAATAAGTGAGGGCCTTCCACATGGAAGTTTCTGCTTAGTGCCGAGTTCAGCTCAAGGTGGAAGGAATACCTTGGTAGGTTTTTCTAGTCTTGTTCCCATTTGGGGGACTCCAGCTCCCGTGACCTCCCCAGGTTCTAGAGCTTGATTTTAGCTCTAAAAAGCCATTGCATTTGTCACTGATTAACTGATTAACCCCTTCAAGCAGTGCTCCAGGATAGTTGTAGACATTATTATTTTTGTTCACTCATCACTGTCCTGTAGTGTCTTATTTGTAAATGTAATTTGCATGCATTTTTTGATCAAATTTTTAGTTGTTTCAGGTAGGAGCCAAATTTTACTCCATTTACTCTGTGACCAGAGATGAGTGGGAGTCCTTGATAGAGATGGGGCTACAGAGATGGCTCAGAAGTTAAATCTACCTGTAACTCCAGCTTCAGGGGGATCTTATACTTCATAGTCACATGTACATATACATATACATAATTAAATAAAAAGTTTGGCCCAGTGGTGGTGACACATGCCTTTACTCCCAGCACTTGAGAGGCAAAGGCAGGCAGGTCTCTGTGAGTTTGATTCCAGCCTGGTCTACATAACTAGTTCTAGGACAGCCAGGGCTATTACACAGAGAAACCCTGCCTTTGGGGGAAAAAAAGTTTGAAAAAAAGTTTAGGAGAGTGAAGTAGTCAAATGTATATTTCATACTATTTTTTCCTTCCTTTCTTTCTTTTTTGATAATTGCTTTTAAAGGGACAAGATTTAAAGGAGTTGTCTTTAATTTCAGTTTTTGTTGCTGTGATAAAATATTCTGACTAAAACAACTTCAAGGAGAAAAGGGTTTATTTAAGCTCACAATTCCAGGTTAAAATCCATCATGGTAGGGGAAGTTACGGCATCAGGTCATGTCCCCAGTCACACAAAGAGCAATGAACACATGTATGCCATTTCTTGGCATGTTTTTCTCTGCTTTATAGGGTCTCCAGCCCAGGGTGTGGTCCAATCTATAGTAGGCAAGTCTTCCCGCTTCAGTTAGCACAAGCTAATCCTCCACAGGCAGCTCAGTCCTGTTTCCCAGGGGAGTCTAGAATTTATCAAATTCACAGAGAACACTAACTATCACACTTAGTAATCCACAGATTGACGATAAAGGCTTACATAGGAGAATGATCATTAGTGACTGTGTTACAGAAGTGAGAGACAGTTTGAGGACTATATAGGAGGAGAAAGAATGTAGTGCAGAGTTTCTAAAAGGATGGATTGTATGTCTGAGTCCCCTGTGTGCTTGGTAAAATGAAGACTTTTGTTGCCCCTTTCAGTGTGAATTTCTATGGATGTGGTTTAAAAATAGTCTTTATGACACATACTCGGTTGATTCTTATAGCCACCATAAAGTTTTAGAAGCTGATGTGAAGTATGGCCGCCATTCTAGTAGCAGCCCTGCATTGAGATGTGCCGAAGTAGAATGAAGCTTTATATAACTAATGTCTAGACCTGCTGAATCTGTGTTTCTTGATGGACTGGGTCTGGAATAGAAGCAGATTCACGAAAGTACTCCACAGATGTGGTCTTTTCTGAACTTAATAGTTCTCTGAGGTGGAAGCAGGTGGTATGTCCACATTTTACAGATGAAATGACTGTAGGCAATGTGACTATCCGTGACAGAAAATCAAACATCTATCTACTCTGGGTCTGATATTCCTCTCTCTGCTGAGCCATACTTCTGGACCTGTAGAAGGCATCCAGTTGAATCTGTGGCTTTGAACATTCTGGGGAACCAGGGGAGTAGGGTTTTTTTTGGTCAGACTTTATTTATACCAAATAGTAATTTTCTTATTTTTTAAATGGAAAGAAATTATGAAAGAATGCCTAGGAAAAGGGTTTATATCTTTGACCATTATTTTAATGGTTTTTACAATTGACTAATGTTTAAAAATCATACTATACAACACACACTTAGTATTTTTACTTAGAATAAGTAGGGAATCGGGTATTAAAAATGAGTCTATAGTATAACCTTTTATTTGATTCCCCCCAAGCCTTTGACAACACAAAATATTGCAGTATCTTGCAACTTGAGTTAGTTTAGCCCGAATTTTGCAGTTTATTTTTAATACTGTTTGTGCTTATCCCTTTGCTTTTGACCAGAGCTGATATTTTGTAGGGAAGTTGCTGTAGTCTTTTTGAAGGACTCTTGTATGTCATGAATCTAAGGTCTTATAATCTAATGAGCACAGTAGTTCTAGTGTTCAGTGGCAAGTAGTAGAGAAGAGAATTCTTTGCAGTGAAGATTGATTTTTAGATTTGCTGTTGAATGCTTGAATAGCCCATGAATTTATTAGTACAGGAAAACAACCGAGGCTTTGTAGCAAGAATCGAATAAAATAAGGCTTTAAGAACAAGGCTTACATAGCCTGTTTCTGTTTTGTGCATTTAAAAGACAAATAGCTATTTTTTAAGTGCCTAGACCTTGTTACTAAAATAAAAGAATCCAAATGAAAAATATCGTTGTAATTCAAAGTATTTTCTCTGCTTCAGAAAATAATACAGCATTTTTTATTTTTTATTTTTTATTTTTTTGGTGGAAAGCCTGACTTTGAAATCTATGTGAATAAAGGAAGGGCATCACGAAGGTGGTGTGAGTATTTGGTTAGCTGAATTACTTTGAGTTTTAGGAAATAATTAGGCTTACTTGCCTTGATGTTAATTTTTTTCTTTTGTTAAAGACAAGGTCTCATGTAGCTCAGGCCATCTATCTCTATCTGCAGATATAGCTGAGGATGACCTTAAACTTGTTACCCTCCTGCCTTTACCTTCTAAGTGCTGAGACCACAGATGCGTGCCACCATACCTGGTTTGACAATTCTTTTATCCACAGAACAGGTATATAGTTACCTATGCTTTTTTCTATATGACTTTTGACTTTTCTATAATGTGGGAATTTGGAGTGGCATTATAGGCATTTTTCTTTGGTGTGTATGAAATAAGCATAAATCACACATACGCACACTGGTACAGTGATTGAAGTGACTTAAGACTTAGCTTTGAAGTGCAGTGTTTACCAGGGCTCAGGCAGTCCTCCTGCTCTGCCTTCTAAGCAACGGGACTCTGGGTGCTCACTACTGAGCCTGGTAAAACTTACTTTATATTCTTTCTGCTCATCCTTCTGATCCCGGGGATATATCTTAGGTATGTGATCAGCACCAACTGTTTCAAATGAATTTATTTATTTATTTATTCATTCATTCCTTCATTTAGTTTTTAGGACAAGGTTTCTCTGTGTAGCCCTGGCTGTCCTGGAACTCATCTGTAGACCAGGCTGGCCTTAAACTCAGAGATCTTCCTGCCTCTGCCTCCCAAGACCCGGGTTAAAGGCATGTGCCACCACTGTCCAGCATTAAGAACTTTATTTTTAGAAAATATTTGCACAGCTGGAATTCAGGGTTGTTTTTGAGTGACTTCAGAGTCCCACACACGCTAAATCCGTATCTTGTCATTGAACTATGTCCTTGTCCCCTTAGTGATTTTGAGACAGGAATCCTATGTCCAGAGTGGCAGGATCTCTGCATCCTTTTGCCTAATTAGACTCCTGAGTGTTGGGGTTACTGTCAGGAGCTACCACACTAGCTCCACCTTTGTTTAAATCATTAGTTCCCTGTTTATTCTGATACATTGGTCCTGTAGAGGGTGTAGTCTATGGTAAGACTACTGTAAAAGAACTATGTGCACATGTGCATGTGTGCTTTGTGTGTATATGTGTGTGATGCCTGAAATCAGACCTAGGACCTCATACATGGTAGGCAAGTGCTATACTGTTGTCCTGAACAATACTCAAACTGGACAGGTCCTGTACAGCCCCTATCAAGAATTTTCAAGTTATATTTAAGAGGCACCCCCCCCCCCCCCACACACACACACAATTTATTTCTTTGTGGGGCAGCATTAGATGTCCTCTTCATTGGCTTTCAACCTTACTGAGATAGAGTCACTCACTGAACCTGGAGCCTTAACAGTTTGTTATGCTGGCAGGCCATCAAGACCCATCAATCTCACTGTCTCTTGCCTCCCCAGCTTTAGATTACAGGCATATACCCCTGGGGAATTTCACCTAAGGTCCTTTGTCTGTGTGGCAAGCTGTTATTAATGATGCCATCTTCTGGCCCCATCACTTCATTCTTTTTTTCACATTTATTGTGTGTGTGTGTGTGTGTGTATGTTCATACTTTGACCTGTTCAGCCATCTTTCTGGCCCCTGTCAGGTTCTAAGTATCATATTGATTTCTTAATAGTATCATAAAACACCAAAAGGTGCTTTCTTGTTAATATCTGATTGATTGTGAACTTCAAAAATGAGGTATGTCTTCAATATAAGGCCCTCTGCTTTACAAAAATTTAAATTGGGAATACTTGACAGAAATGTAAGAATGTTAACAAATCATCTCTCTCTGATAATAAGTATCATGGTAAATAGAAGGAATTTGTTAAGGAACTTAGTGGAATGATATCTGTTATATGTATCTTGAAGTATTTTTGTTATTCATAAACCTGTAAATAGTAACATAGTCATAGTGACCATATTGTGATTTCCCTTCACAGATAACAAGTTGTGCTAGTGCAGCCGTGTAAATAATCCCTGAAGTCTCAGTGTAACATGGACATTAACAGTGATGACACATAAATACAGATGCTTGGGAATTAAGTACTAGGCGAAACACTTCAAAAGGTAAGAAAAGAATATGATGTTCTCTTAAGGCCAAGTGAGATAGTTAGAAGTCATCATTGGCTGGTGTTTCCAGTGTATCAGGCTTTAAATGTCCACAGGAGCCTGTCTAAAACTAGAACTCAGCAATAACTTATGAGTTCTTTTGTGAAGATAACAATAGCAGATATTCTTATTTGGCAAGTACAGTGAGGGATACTCTGAACTGAGCCCTCCTGAGAAATGACTAGCAGTGTCACTGGGATTTAGAGTGCTTCAGCCCTTCAGTGTGCATGGAGCCTCAGGTCCTGATGGTGGTCATCACTTTATGGATTGTGTCCTGCTCTGTGTTGTGATGGACTTCTGGGGAGGGCAAGGAAGTTATGAGTCGGAGTCTTCAGTATGAGGCTAAATTTTCAAGTCAGCTTACTTTTTGTAGAGTCATATTTTCCCTGTGTACCCCTTCTTCATGCTTATTTAGAGCTTTAAACAACTAGAGGGGAAAATAGCAGGTTTTCACTTTGTATACTATAGAATTTACAAGGAGAGGTTGCATTTATAGTTGGTAGGTCATACCTCTGTTCCTCTCTGAAAAGCAATCTCTTCCTATTTAATAATTTATTAATATAAGTAGGAAGAGTAATAAGGAATTTCAAGGGTAAAAATATAGAGTACAGTTCTTTTTTTTATTTTAATTTTACTTACTTATGTTTATGGGTGTTTTGTCTGCACACCAGAAGAGGGTATGAATCTCATGGGACTATAATTAGTTATAGATGGTTGTGAGCCACCATTGTGGGTACTGGGAATTGAACTCAGGATCTCTAGAAAAGCAGCCAATGCTCCCAACTGGTAATCCATCTCTCCAGCCCTAGAGTCAATTCTATAGGATATTAGAATGAGAGTGTACGCTTAAAGACAAAAAAATAAATAAATCAATAAATAAATCAATAAATCTACTTTAAATATTACAGAAGTGCTAGACGTGGAAGTGCATGCCTTTAATCCTTGCATTCGGGAAGCAAAATGAGGTCTAATCTACATCCTGAGTTCTAGACAACCAGGGCAATGTAGAAAGACCCTGTCTGAAAACCAGCAAAAGAAATATCAGGTGTGATTATTTGTGCACCCCAGCTCTTGGGAGTTCAAGTTCAGCAACATAGGGAGGTTTGAGGTCAGGCTGGGCTACTGGAAACTCTATCTCAAAAAACAAAGTAACAGGCTAGGTATACTGGCTCACATGTTTAATCCCAGCACTTAGGAGTCAAAGGCAGATGGATTTCTGTGAGTTAGGTTAGCCCAGGCTATATAGAGAGACCCTGTCTCAGCAAAACAAAAACAGAGACTCATAAACCAGCAAAATACTATAGCATTTACAGTAATGAAAAGCTTATTATGTACATTAAAGTAAGTATAGCTGGCATTGGGTCATTATACTTATTTAGATTCTGTTGGCTATGCTTAAATAGATCTTTAACATCACCTTTAACAGTAATCTATTCATTTTACTAGATAGAACCCTGGTTTATAAGATTTGATAATTGCATCAGCCCTTAAATATAATACTTCACTTAAAATAATACTTATTTAAAAATATCTAGTTTAATGCTTAAAATAAAATGGCAAGGTTAGTCATAAACATCTGCTTGTCTCTTTTCTAGTACTGTTATTTGCAGATGGGCACTCCTAAATAACCCAATTAGTTACAGCATATATTCTCTGAAAAAGATGTCATTAACATACTAGTAAAACTGCTGTTAATTAAAATATCAGACTGAATATTTAACTCAGAAAACTTTTTCTTCTTCTTTTTTTTTTAACTTTTTATTGATTCTTTGTGGATTTCATATTATGCATCCCAATCCCATTCATCTGACTCTAGGTTTTTTTCTTGTTGAGAATCTGTATGGCCGGCCATGGTGGTGCACACCTTTAATCCCCACACTTGGAAGACTGAGGCAGGAGGGTCTCTGAGGGTCCCTGATCTACACAGTTAGTTCCAGGACAACCAGGGCTGTGTTGGGAGATCTTGTCTCAAAAACAAAAACAAAAAACCAACACCACCACCAAAAAACAAAAGGAAGAAGAAAATGCATTGGCAAAAAAGTAATGAACTTAGTATCACGGGTGCTGTGGTGCAGAGGATTCATGCTGTGTGCATAACCTGTGGTTTGTGTTGTTTAGGCCCTAGGTTTATATTCAGTCCTAAGTCTAGGAAATCCTCTAGAAATCCTTTAGGTCATCTTTAAGAGGGGAAAAATGCCTTAGATTAGAGCAAATTTCAAGAAAGGGTTGAGTCGTATTTTACTCAAATTAATAATTGAGTTGTTTGTAAGGATTTGTTATATTTCAAGTTTCTTCAAGTTCTGTCCCAGTTGCTTAGTGCCCCTGAGGCTACTTAACCAGGAAACACAAAAACATCACTGTGAAGATGCTGCTGCCTCTGTGTACTTCTGTAGTCACAGTAAATCGTTAGCATAAGTTAATTTCCTTATTTAATGTCTTTTTTTTTATCATTTTATTTTAAAGAGAGGCGTTTAAGAGGTTTTAGTATTCTCCGAGGCTGAAGCCGAGAGCCTGAAACTTAAGCGCTATTGTAGATCCTAGCTTCATCTCCTTCAGGATAGAAGGAAAAGAAAGACTGTCTCCACAATGGTAGCTCTTTGGTTACACAGGTAAGTTACTCATTGTGCAGTAGAGAAGACAGCTGTAGTGGATTTTATCTGCTTTGGTGGGAGGAGACATGCTACTTTCCATCTTTCTTTCTCCGCCTTGTGTTTTATGGCATTCTCCAGCTGTAGGGAATGGCCTGAAGATTAAATAGTTTTCCATTTCTTTTTTCTCGACAGATGGATAAATGAAATGATTGTTGGTATCTTGAGACTAGACCATTAAACCTGTCTTTGAAATGTACTTATTTAAGGAGCAGTGTGAAATTCTTTGACTTCTCTTCTCAGTTGTCTTAAGTGTGTATTCATTTGAATCTATTCTCTGTCTTCCTGTATAGCTCTCTGTCAGTCTTATCAATCATCTCTTGCATCACTCTTGATAACAAAGAAGAGATCCCTTTATATATAACTGCATGATAGAATTTCCAGACTTCAAAATGGTGACTGTTGACCTTTCAATAAATCGAGTGGATAGGGTCACAGGTGCTGTTCTGCTACAATGGCGATAATTGTACAATTGAAATAATCTGTCTTTTAAAAGAATTGTGTAACTGGTTGTGACAGTACACACCTGTAATCCCACCACCAGGAATGCAGGAGGATTGTTAGAGTTTTAGGGCCAGCCCAGGGCTACATAGTATGCTTCAGGTCATCCAGGACTGCACAGCAAGACCCTGTCTCAAAAACTACATCTCAGAGACTTGTATGAGAAGCAAAGCCTGAGCACAGCTTATGCTTTAGACCAGCAAGAAAGTCATATTGGTGACACCTCTCAGTTACCCTTTCTCAGTTTTTCTTTTGACTTTGGCCTTTGTACCTGAAAATATAAGGTTATTGTGACCAGTTTTCTACAAGTTGTTCTCTTAATAAAACTAATATGATGATGATAATATTGGTGTTACTTAGCGGGATGTGGTGGTGCACACCTTTAATCCCAGCACTCAGAAGGCAGAGTCTGGTGGGTCTCTGAGCTGGAGGCCAGCCTGGTCTACATAGTGAGTTCCAGGACAGCCAGAGCTACATAGCGAGACCCTGTCTCAAGAAAAACAAGATAATAAAAATAAAATAATATTGGTGTTAATTGCCAACTCCTCAATTCCTAAAGTAAACTGGGTCACTTTTGGTGATTAGAGCAGGAGCCAGAGATTACAGGTATTAGAAATAGTTTTTGAGTGAAAGTGGAGCTGCATCATGTGCTGTTTCTAGTGGGTGGGCCTTTCTTGTCTAATCTGTCCTGTTTCTTTGGTTCTGATTTAGTTATGTGGGTGTAGTCATGGGGACTAGAGGTTTATGATCAGGAAGAGCTAACAATGTCTCAATTTTATAGTTTTTATGAAAGTACATTCAAGTTTAGGGGAGGGTGGTTCAGTGGAACTCTGATAAGAGTTAGGATGTGTGGATTTAGGGGAGATTTGGAACTCAGCGTGGGCAGGCTGAAAAGATTTGGTTGTTGTCCCTTTTCATTCTCTTCAGTAGTATGAGAACTTAGGAGGATGGGGAATATAGGACAAAGTGTGCTTAATTCTAGTGATGGGTCATATTCTCTCCCTGTTTTCCAGAAAATGCTGCTGCTTATTAGTTGGTGGGTAACATAGAACAGTTTAGTCTCATTACCTCATGGGAATGTGAACTCAGGTTTCCCTTATTTCTCTAACTATAATAATTCAGTTTCTATTAGCAAATGGGCATGGCTAAGGCTTTCACCAGGTCTCTTAGTTTATTAGTAAGGGATCCTGAGCTGATTGGCAAATGGGTTCACTTCTATTCCCATAGCAACTTCATAGTTGGCAAGAATAGAATTATATGCCCAGACCTTTTCATTGGATTTTTTTAGTGACTTTGTATTTAGCTAAAATAAGGGAAATAACAGCTTTAGTCTGTACTACTTTGCTAAATAAATAAGCTTGTCACAACAATACTGAAATTTGGTTGGAATAATGTAGACATACTTCATTAAAAGTCCCTTATTGAATGGCTTTTTTATTCATTTTATCAGATAATTGCAAAATGTATGTATACTTCATGTATGCTTATGCAAAAATAGGAAAGAGGAAGAAAAATATAACAGATTTGTTTTACTTGGCCTTCATAATTTGATTAGATTTTTACTTTAAGTGTCTAAGATAATTGTACAATCTGTTGTTGGATGCTTCTTTAGCAAAGGGATCATGGCCTTATTTATAATGCTTTGTTTTAATCATTATAATCTAGTAAAATATTAAAGAGAATTATATATCTAATTTGGTTTGCAACCTGATGATTGAATTATGTTGCTAGCCTACTGCCTGAGTACAGTGATCTCGGTGTTTCTCATACTCCAGCATGTATGAATTGGTTGGATAGGGCCTCATATTCTGCAGTTCTTTCCTTTTTCTTGCCTTTTTCCCTTCTGTTCTAAGTATCAAATGCAAGTCTGGGTTTCTAGCGAGCTTCAGGACATGCTTCTAATGTGAACTCTCAAGGCTGTGTAAGTTACAACAGTTTGAAATACCAGAAAATAATCCCTGTAAGATGAGCTCTTCTCATTGGCCTCCAAAGACGTTTTATTTATTTATTCCAGCATTTTGCAGTTTATTGGTCCTCTCCCAAGACCGCTGCTTGGTGATTGCAGCCCAGTAGTTGGGCTTAATTGTAATCGGTGGCTAGAATGAAAACCTTTTTTAGGGAACAAAAGACACAGAAAGAGGCTTAATCAGTGTTTCAGTTTTATAACTGGAATCATGAAGAAAAATACAGGCTTTCATAAGTGCTATTTGATAGTGTTTTTTATTTGTATTTGTGTGCATACACACATTTTTATATATTCACCCATATATACATATACTTTTAAAGTAATTCTCACTATTAATGACAGATGTCTGATTCAGTAGTCTCTTTTGTGAAGTTGAATTACTGAATTACAGAGAAAGGTTTTGTGCCTTGTTCAGATTGGTGTGGAAAGAAAAGAATGATTAAGGAAGCCAGTTAACTGAAATCACTTCAGAGGTTTATAAGCTTTAATGAGCATTGCTTATTAAAAATAAAGCTTAATGAATTTCTCATATTTTTCAATCACAAATTATGAAGATAATTAAATTTGCATTGTATTTTATAGTTTGTTTATAAAATTAATTTATTTTTAGTTTTATATTTGCATTTACATAGGTATTTAGTATATAACCTTCAGTTTTGAGAGCTCCAGGCTTTGGTACATCAAAGAAATAAATTGCTTTAAAAATTTTTCAGTTTGTGTTCATTTAACACATTGAAGTTTAACTTACATTTATTGTAATTGGAAGTGAAAACTGATGAGTATTTATTACCTATAAGTAAAGCAGAAAAATAAACAACAGTCAGACCACTGCTGTGAGTCTTTAGATAGTGAAGTTCATGGGAGACGCTGTCTCTGCTCTGATGGTGTGTCCATACCTACTGTTATTCTCTAGAACAAGTAGTTGTGCTTTCAAGATTTTAAAGCGTTCCCTGCTTTGGAACAAAGCTAAATCCAGCCGACTTAACATTTCACAGGGTACTTTCCTTCCTGTACTCATTGTCAGCAGCCAGAACAGGGTAGCAGTTTTGTTTAGTGTTCCTTGTGTGACAAGTTGCTGTGGTCTTCTGTAGTTCCAGTAGTAGTTAATGCAGTTGAGGCCTAGAAGGGAATGTGCTTGCTTTGCATGGGGAGGAGATGAAATGGCGTTAGAAGGTTTCTGTGTGAGGGAGGCCATGGGAAAGTGACAGAGGCAGGAGGCGAGCATGGTGAAGTTACATTATAGCTGTTATTGAGCCTTTCTTTATCCATTCTGTACCCCACTTGAATTGAGTAGCAAGTGAAGTGGTAAAATATCTAAGAAAAGTAGCAGAGGGGGAAAAGGGGGATGAAACTTGGAATATTAATAGTGCCTTTGTTCTGGATACTATGGAAGACCTGGAAAACATCATTAGCTCTTTCAGAGTTTACCCAGGTAGATCAATGAGGACATTTTCCAGTAGGCTTCCTAATTCTCTTAGAAAGTTCAAGCATCCTTACCAGAAAACTCACTTGTCTCCCAAGCAGTGAGTTACAGCTAGCCTGCACTACATATAGAACTTAGGAAGGAAAGTGTGTGGGCATGTGTGTGTGTGTAAGTACACACACATGTGATATATGTGAAATGATATTCCTTACTTCTGAAGTGACTATTTCCCTTTGAGGATAGCTCTTGCTTTCTGCCCTCCTCAGAATACTTTGACATAGTATGTGCCTTTCTCTAGAGACTAAAGCTTTGATTGACTGTTGTTAGCCAGTGCAAGCTAGTGTTGGGACTTCTGGCCACTGTTTAATTACAGAAATTTCATAGCAGTATGCCAAAATAGCTTGTTATCGAGGGACTTAACCTGAAACCGTTTTTGTAAAAACCTCAGACTGATTAGAATGTGTTCTATAAGATAGCTAGCTGATCTATAACTTCAAGAGTGTTACTTTATTAACCAAAATGGAATCTTATGTTTAGGTTCATCATTTCTGGTTACCTTGTGCCCTTCTGAGAGGCAGAGAGACCTTGAACATGGTCTCTAGAGTTCTGTATGAACTGGCTATATGACCGTCAATAGATTGTTGAGGCTGTCTGTGCCTCAAGTCTCCTCAGTTGTAAAGTAGATACAATAGCTATTCCTGTGTGAGTTGTGAGACTTCAGGGAGAAGGTATGTTAAACATAAACAGGGAGTCCTAGACTATATTAAATGGTACGTAATTGTTAGCTGTTACTAATGTCATTATTGGAAATTTTAATAAAGTAACCTTTGTCCCATTATTAATAATGGCTATACTTGGATAAAAAGTTATAACTTTATACTTTTGTTTTAGATATATTAACTATTACCTCTTTCTCATTATTTTGTTTACATTTTTGAAGGTTTCCCAATGAGTGGATCATGATGACCGTATGGTAGGGACTTGCCATAGTATGGCTGCTTCCCGATCTACTCGTGTTACAAGATCAACAGTGGGGTTAAACGGCTTGGATGAATCTTTTTGTGGTAGAACGTTAAGGAACCGTAGCATTGCTCACCCAGAAGAGATCTCTTCTCATTCTCAAGTACGATCAAGATCACCAAAGAAGAGACCAGAGCCTGTGCCAGTTCAGAAAGGAAATAATAACGGAAGAACTTCTGATATAAAGCAGCAGAGTGCTCGAGAAGCATGGGTAAGCCCTAGGAAAAGAAGACTTTCCTCTTCAGAGAAGGATGACCTAGAAAGGCAGGCTCTAGAGAGCTGTGAAAGAAGGCAGACAGAGCCAGCACCACCAGTCCTGAAGAACAGTAAACGCTGTCTTAGAGCTGAAGCCCCAAACAGTTCAGAAGAAGATTCGCCTATAAAACCAGACAAGGAGTCAGTAGAACAGAGGAGGACAGTAGTGGACCATGATGCAGAGTTTCAAGGGACTAAACGAGCTTGTCGATGTCTTATATTGGATGATTGTGAGAAAAGGGAAATTAAAAAGGTGAATGTCAGTGAGGAAGGGCCACTTAATGCTGCCGTAGTAGAAGAAATCACAGGCTATTTGACTGTCAATGGTGTTGATGACAGTGACTCAGCTGTTATAAACTGTGATGATTGTCAGCCTGACGGGAACACTAAACAAAATAGCACTGGTTCCTATGTGTTGCAGGAAAAATCAGTAGCTGGAAATGGGGATTCAGAAACCCAGACTCCAATGTTCTTTGGTAGTAGGAAGGAGGACAGTTGTATAGACCATCTCGTGCCTTGCACGAAGTCGGAAGTGCAGGTCAAGTTGGAGGACCACAGACTAGTAACTGCCTGTCTCCCCGTGGAACGTCGTCATCAGCTGACTGCCGAGCCAGCATCGGGCCCTGTTTCTGAAATTCAGTCATCCTTAAGAGATTCTGAGGAGGAAGTAGATGTGGTGGGAGATAGCAGTGTCTCAAAAGAGCAGTGTGATGAGAACAGCAGTGACCCTCTGGACACAGATACTGAAAACATGCCAGTCTCTGCAGAGCCGGAGCTGTCCTCTGTGCTAGACTGTGCTTCAGCTCAGATGACGTCTTTATCTGAACCTCAAGAACACCGATATACCCTGAGAACTTCACCTCGAAGGGCCGCTCCGACCAGAGGTAGTCCCACTAAAAACACATCTCCTTACCGAGAAAGTGGACAGTTTGAGGAGAATAATCTCAGTCCCAATGAAACAAATACAACTGTTAGTGATAATGTAAGTGAGTCTCCCACAAATCCTGTTGAAATTTCTCAAAATGAAAAGGTTCTGTGTTGTGACTCTCAAAACTACACAAGTGAAGGACTAAGTCAGTCACCCTCAGAGGCCAGAATGAATATTGGACATTTGCCATCTGCCAAAGAGAGTGCCAGTCAGCACACTGCAGAAGAGGAGGATGATGACCCTGATGTTTATTACTTTGAATCAGATCATGTGGCACTGAAACACAACAAAGAGTATGTGTAAATATGGTAACCATGAGTTCTGCTTGTTTATCACTTCCCAGGTTTCAGTATTTATTCAGAAATGTCTGTTCTTCATGTTTTTGTTGCAGATGAAGTTAACACTTCAGCATGAGTTTAGATTTAACATACATTTTTTAACTCAAAAAACTCAGATGCGACATTGAACTTCATTACTCGTCTCTGTAGTAGTGCAAATTTTCTAGTCAGAGCTCCCATGTGTCTAAATGAGAAAGGGCAAGTGAAACCCCGGGTGTGTCGCAGGAAGATAAGTGGAAACATGAGTGGTAGTGCTTTTTTGCTGCTGAGTTAGCACAGTCCACTTTGGCTCATACTTGTAGAGATTTATAGCATCTGCCTTTAAATATGGTTGAAGTAAATCATGAGTATGTAGCTATCATCTGGGTACTGGAAATCTGGCAAACTAGAACTGATTTACATTTAAATCCCATTAAAGTTTTGACTTAAGACCATGCTTGAGCCATCACCCCCGTAGCTCAGAAATAGACAGTGCTGTTAACACTGTGATGGAGGCCTTTGAGACAACCCGAGCTGTAGAGACTCTAATTTTGCAAGCCTTTATTGCAAAGGTGCTTTTGCAAATAATTCTGTGTCCAAAATTTTCATGATTTTGCCCACTTGATGTATTCTGGAAAATACTATAAATGACTCAGTTAACAGTCTCGATGACCCTGGAAAACTATGCAAGCACTCACCAGAACTACTTGAATGGGTAACAGTGACCAATGTGTAGATTAACTCCTCTCATAGGTCGGCTTTTGAGCTGTTGCCACAAAGTCAGATTATACTGGTTGTACAAAAATAATTGGATTTGAAGAAAATTTCCACTGCTGTTGTTGTGACAGATGTCTGATCAAGTATCATATCAGGGCTGTGGGACAGTTCTTTTTTTGCCATGCTTAGTAGGACGTTTGTTCAGGACGTTATATCCGATAATATTGTGGACTTTTAGCATAGGTCTCTTCTGGAAAAAAGTTTTTTTCCTGTGCTCTTTTTGGTTTTGTTTGTTGTTTTTCGAGATAGGGTTTCACTGTGTGGCCCTGGCTGTCCTGGAGCTCGCTCTGTAGACCAGGCTGGCCTCAAACTCAGATCCGCCTGCCTCTGCCTCCCAGGTGCTGGGATTAAAGGCTTATGACACTGCCACCAAGCTTCCTCTGTTCTTCTAAAATGTATTTTAAAACGTGATTTAAGAAAGAATTTTTCCCTGAACATTTGATAAATTATTGTAGAAGGTTCCGAGTCTAATAATACTACAGATCGGTTTGAGGCAGAAAAACATAATAATTTCCGAAGTGAAAAAACTCAGTTAGAAATAAGATAACTGGTACGTGGGGGCACACCCACACAGTCCCAGCATGAGAGACCAAGGCAGGACAGTAGCCTGGGTGCCGTAAGGAGACCGTGTCTCAAAAAACCAAACAAACCAAAACAGATCAACAAATGTTTTCCATTCATACATAATTTTCAAAGGGGGGACTCTGCTTGCAGGTGCAAAGAAATATGTTCTAGAGAAACACACCTCAAAAAGTGTGATGTCTCGCTTTACTTTCTTATTTTTGAAATGGAGGCTTTCTATGTCACCTAGGTTAGTGTTGAGTTGTGACTCAAGTGATTGTGGGACTTCGAGCTTATGTCGCCATGGCCAGCTCCGGCTTAAATGAATTTGAATTTCTCTGGAACTTGTTTCTTCTGAACTGAGAACTGGCAAGTGTAAGGCACACACTCTGCCACTGAGCCACACTTTCTCTTCCAGGAAATGATATTTTAGTAGTTCTTTCCCTTGATTTTTGTTGTCTTTGTTACAGGATATTCTTACTGATTCTGGAAAATAGTAATTCAGTCTTGTTATGTTTAAAAGTGAGATTGAATGGTGATTAAGGACAGTACTCCCATAAAATAATTATCCAGAGGTGATATTCCAGGTCCATCAGCATGGGGCTTGGAGTCCTTTGGAGTTGGCTGCCGTTTACTGTGAGGACAGTGCTCAATGCTGATGGGTCATCAAGTGGCTGGGTGAAAGAAGCCCCTTATTTTGCTCCCATATCTTTTGCTTCATCCCAGATCTTTGAAGATGACACGATTTTAGGTTTTACTTTCTTTGGTTTCTGCTAACATTGCTAGGGGTTAGAACCAAGGGCCTGCACATTGGGCAAGTATTCACCACTGCTCTTCTAAGATGGAAGAGATGATCGTGATGAGCATCTTGGTTTAAAGTAATTCCAAGAAAATGGTATTTGATCATGTTGCATGTAAATTCTTTAATAAAGTCCCTTTTTTTGCTCCATGTTTCTATTCCCATGTTTTCATCCAGATGTCAGAGATGATTGGCTTTTAAAAAACAAAACTAAAAAACAAACCAAGTGATTGTTTAAAAACAACATGGTTACGGCTGTCTAGTGTTTTCAGGTGTTGGGAATTTAAAGTACTTTGAAAGTGGTATTGGTGGATCGCTATTTATCCTCTTGTACACAGTACCCTTTATGCTAGAAAAGATCTCTAGCTCGTTGCTTGTGAAACTGGGAATTTAGCCTTGCCTACAGTATTCATTAGTACTCTGCCAGAAGGGATCAAGTCATACTTCCTGATGCCAGTTAAGCAGGTTATTAAAGCCGTGTGCACACATACATATCTACAGACCCCATCTCAAACAAAAAGTGTATTAATAGAAAATTCCATGGTTGCCACGGTGTTCTCTTTAGAGTTAGGGGCCTCTGATTCTGTTACAGTGAAAACTTCCCTCCAAGCTAACAGTAATGATGTAGTTGGCAGCCTTCGCCTTGTCCTTTGAAGAGTATCACTTACAAGGTTCTCATCATTCATAAATGTTTAAGAAGATACTTTACAGTCTTAGCTTTGGACCTGTCCTGACAAGTTAGACAACAGCATGGGGAAATGAGTCTGAGTGTTTGGGTACACAGTTGTGACTCACATTGTACTTCTGCTGATTTTTCCCTAAATAGGAAACTCTGCTTGCTAACTGAGTAAGAGGCTAAAAAGTGTGTTCTTCTGGTGAGGTTCTTGCTCATGGTTATTGTAGCAGATGTTCTCAGAGGTTTGGCAAAGAGGGCCCAAGGCCACACTTTCCCTGAAAGGTTACTGACGCTCTTAAAGGGAGATAATACCTAATGATCCCTTAGTGGCCTGGCTGACTCAGACCACCTGGAGGTTCTGGCTTTCAGAATCAGATAAGGATTTGAAGGCCTTGGGATTTATATTTAGTATTTCTTTTCAAATTCAGAAGGTAGTCACTAGAAATGAAACTTTGTGATGCATGTCAAAGACAGTTATTAAGTAGGTGTATTACACAGACAGTACAGTAGAGTCTCCCACCAGGATCAGAAGGTTAACTCAGTGGTAGCATACTTAGCAAGTGTGTAAGAGGCCCTGCCTTTCATTCCTAACACCGTACTGCAGACACAAAAAAGCATCGTGAATTAATGGTAGAAATGAAGTCATACTTCAGCCTTTTAAAAAAAATGGCTGTTTTGTTTCTGGACTTTTTTTGAAACAGGGTCTCTTGTAGCTCAGGCTTGCCTCAAGCTTGTGATGTTGCTGAAGGTAACCTTTAACTTGTGACCCTCCTCCCTTGTCCTCTGTTGCTGGGATTACAAGAGTGCCATGCCTAGTTACTTCATGGAGTGAAGATTTACTCTGTGGACTTAGGGGAGTTTTTAGATTGAGAATCTTATAGAGCAGATCTTTGGTATTTAATTTTTTTTTTAAATCTGACTAATTATAATGACGTGATTTTTGTTGGTCAGAATCAGCATTTTAGGTAAGTAAACCCCGTTTAACTTGTTAGCTGCTTTCTTGTTCTTTAATGGTGTGTTTGTGAAGAACAAGTGCTTCTTATAGAGGATTTGGTTAATTTGAGGAGACTCTGGGGGTTTAGAATGCAGTGGTCTATGAAAGACAGAGGCCACTAGGGAAGAGGGGCTTGGTGCTCCTTGACAGTTCCTAGAAAGAGCTGCAGAATACCAGGCATTGGTGTGTGGGTGGATTAATGGGAGGAGTAAAAGCTGCCTGAAGTATATAGAACATTGGTTGTTGTTGGGGAATAAGTCATTCACTAATCAAAACATGTCATGAATTGTTGCCGATTTGAAAAAGATTTTATTGTGTGTATGGTTGTTTTTCCTGCATGTGTATCTGTGCACCACATGGGTGTGCCTGGTACCTGTGGAGGCCAAGAGAGGAAGCTGAGTCCCTTTGTACTGGAGTTCCAGGTGGTTGTGAGCTACCATGTGGGTGCTGGGAACCCTGCATCCTGGAGTACAGAGTACCCTGGAAAGAAGCAACTGGTGTTCCTAACTCCTGAGCCATCTCCAGCCCCATTACCAAACATTTTTAATTTTTAAGGAATAAGGTGATTTTAAATGATCCTCTGCCCTAATCTTAAGGATGCTGACACATGGATATAGTCTTAACATTGTTGGTTTAGGGTCATCGCCGGCAGAGGTGGTGGAATGACCCTGGTGACCTCACTGTCATAATAGGTCTATCTTTCCTGACCTTTATAGTCCAAGAGTTTCACTTCTTCCTGTGTTCTTTTGGCAGCTCTGTGGCTTAGTATTTCATTTCATTTTTGTTGACTTTCCCTTCTAATTGACTGCTTTTAGCCTTCTTTGATCTTAGAGATCAGAATGATCAAACTTACCAAGATTGTCTTGTTTGGTTCACTGAGGAGTTTCTTTTTGAGTGAATACACAGCACATGGATGTTTGGTTATTATATGTTCTTGTTTGCTTTTTTTCTCAATAGAGAAGTTAAAGTTCCTTTTTTATACATGGTAAAGAATTTTTTCATTTAGTGATAAAATATTCCTGAAACTATATTATTTACCTGCTATTTTTGAGGCTAACCTTTAGTTGCAGAAGCTATATTTCACAATTTTTATAGTAGTATGTGGAAAAAATGAACTTTTCTGTACTAGTCGTGTTCAGTAGTTTGGGATGCCACATGCATTTTAAAAG